CCCAGGCGCCCAGGATGGCCACCTTAAACCCCTAGTAACCAAGTGCTAACACCCAGTTTCTACACCCATATTTCTGCCTACGCTGATGTTTACATTGGCCAGTTCAGTTTTTTGTAAGCAAAGGAAGAAATCAAAAAGAAGAGCCAATACTTCAAAGTGATGTCTTAGCATTCTATATAATAGGGTCTTGCATTAATTCAAATACAGAAATGGGGTTGATCATTTTAATCTTTTCATGGTACTTGGAAATCTGAATGTGTTCAATGCAAAACAACCTAACCAGCAACAGTATGTACAAAACTCACATTAAGAATAGCAATTTACGGCCAACAGACCCATGAAAAACTGCTCAACATCGCTTGGCATCAGGGAGATCCAAATCAAAACCTCAATGAGATACCACCTCACACCAGTCAGAATGGCTAAAATTAATAAGTCAGGAAACAACAGATGTTGGCGAGGATGCGGAGAAAGGGGAACCCTCCTACACTGTTGGTGGGAATGCAAGCTGGTGCAGCTACTCTGGAAAACAGTATGGAGGTTCCTCAAAAAGTTGAAAATAGTGCTACCGTATGACCCAGCAATTGCACTACTGGGTATTTACCCCAAAGATACAAATGTAGGGATCCGAAGGGGCACGTGCACCCCAATGTTTATAGCAGCAATGTCCACAACAGCCAAACTATGGAAAGAGCCTAGATGTCCATCACAGATGAATGGATAAAGAAGATGTGGTGTATATATATACAATGGAATATTATGCAGCCATCAAAAAATTGAGATCTTGCCATTTGCAACGACATGGATAGAACTAGAGGGTATTATGCTAAGCAAAATAAGTCAATCAGAGAAAGATAATTATCATATGATCTCACTGATATGAGGAATTTGAGAAATAAGACAGAGGACCATAGGGGAAGGGAAGGAAAAACAAAACATGATGAAACCAGAGAGGGAGACAAACCATAAGAGACTCTTAATCTCAGGAAACAAATTGAGGGTTGCTGGAGTGGAGGGGGGGTGGAAGGGATGGGGTGGCTGGGTGATGGACATTGGGGAGGGTATGTGCT